CCTGTCATGGGAGAACGGAGCCCTCATATCAACATAACTCAATTTTCATCATGTCCCATGCAACAAAGCCCTGCTTGAAGCCAGGACTAGCAGTGGAAGATGGTGACAACTAATGCCAAATGCTTCAGAAACACCCCAGTATTGATCACTAGGAGGAAAGAGAGAACCCATCTCTTTGAAACTGTAGTTCCTGAAAACTGGGAAAAAAACCAACAAACCAACCACGAGAAAAGGTGGCAGTCATTCAGACTTTAGAACAGCAGCAGTACAATTAATTTCTACATTACACCCTGTGACTAATCCACTTATCTGAGAAAGAAGAAGAAAAAAAATCTGCTTGGATGGGTACCCAGTGATTCAGGGCAAAAGAGGTGATCCAAGTGTTGTTCTAGGAAATGAAAACAAATCTCACTCCCAGTGATGCAGATGGGTCACTGACGAGTTTCCTCAGCCAGGAGGGATGTCATTAAAATAGACTTTTTATGTCATGGTCATTGAGTCTGAGAGAGAAAATCTGAGGTACTCAAGTGCTATGAGAATTTTAATGTCTCCTCATTTTTTCCTGTTTGGATAAAAACTGCCAAACAGGTAAAAAATAAAGTAAAAACTCCATGAAAATAGAATGCTGAAATAGTTTGGGTTGGAAGGGATCTTAAAGATCATCTCCTTCCACCCCTGCCATTGGCAGGGACACCTCCCACTAGCCCAGGTTGCTCCAAGCCCTGTCCAACCTTGCCTTGGATAATTCCAGGGATGAGGCATCCACAGCTTCTCTGGACAACTTGTTCCAGGTTAATAAATAACACATAAAATAATAATTATAAATAAAACCTCACAAATAAATAATAAATAAATAGTAATATAAATAAATACATGATACATTAACTACCAAAATAACAAAAAGCAAATAAATAAGGAAAATATATCCTGCTTGTAAAAAAAGGCATTTAACAAGAAGTGTGAAAAAAAAAATTGTGCTTGGGTTTGGGGGTGCTGGAGAGCAAAGGATTGCAATTCTTTTTATGTGGAACTTGTCACAAGTGAAAGGCAGTGGAGGGTCAGTCTCAAGAAATGCTGTTTCCTCAGAGTTTATTGAGCACAGTGGAAAACTGAGCAGCCCAGCTGCAGTGCTCTCTGCCTAATTTCCCTTTCAAGGTAGAGCCCAGAGCAACCCTCTTAAAACTAGATGGTGAGTTAGTGAGTCTGCTGAAGTTAATAAAAAAAAAATTTAATTATGAGTCAAGTGAAGTGATCTCCAGAGTGCATTCCTTTAGTCATTTAACTGGAATTTGGTACAAGCTTTTAGACTCAGGCACTAAAGGACTCCTAAGCCTGAACTATGGGCAGAAGATTATGCTTAGCTGCTTAATTCAGCTTGGTGTCAATGAATATCTGTGGGATTCTATGAGAAAGGATGGAGGGAAAGTAATGAAAGCAAGAAAAATCATGTTTCTGCAAACCCTAATTAGCTTTTTTAAATCTCAGCCTGCATGAGGATTTGTTATCAACAACTGAAAGATGAATCTACTTGCTTGCTACGAGATGCAGAAACAAAACCATGTTTATTTATACCCAATTATAAATATTTTTCTAGTGGGTTCCTGGGAAGGAGGACTGCAGAGCTGAATTATCTGCTTCACAATCCAAAATTAGAATGGAAAGATAAACAGGGCAGCAAAGCACAGGAAATTCAGCAGACAAACAAGCAAACAAGGACTTTGTTTCTGAGCTTTGCTTCAAACCCAGTGCTGGCCAAAGAGGTGGTCTTGTAACACTGGGAACAACAAAACTTTGGGAACCCATAGACCCTGTGCAATTATTTCCTAAAAAATATGTGTGTATTTGAAACCAAATTGGGATTCAAGCACAGCACTGTACCAGCTACTAGGAAGAAAATTAACTCTATCCCAGCCAAAACTGGGGGAGTGATGTAATCCAGTCATTAGGTTGACACTTGTAAGGGATTTTGTCATGATGCTGAAAATGTGTTTATTTGGTGCTGAGATGGTTAGTTGAGTACATACTACTGGGTGAACAAGTAGAGACTACATGTTTCAGTCATGACAGGCACACTAGGAAGAAATTAAGTAATCTAACACCAAAATCATATGGTTATTCAAAGTAAAAAGCTGCCAAATGGTGGATGGTGTGTCTTCTCTGAGAGTGGAGGAGGTGACAACAATGAGCAGCACCCAGAAAACTCATTTAAAAAACACATGCTCCTGATTCTTGACATCCTTGTGCTCGCAGGCACCAGGCTTCACTATGACATTGGCATAACACCGATCCCAGACAAAATAAACAAAAAACCAAAACAAAAGGCCAAATAAGCAAATTCAGTTTACATTTTGGCTTTAATTCTTTGTATTTTTAACCAGGACATGAAAGGCAAAAATCTCAGGTCTTGCTTTTCATGTTTTCATGCACCAGTGATAAATGTTTATGTGGGATTTAGGTGTTTGCATTTCCAGCATATTTCAGTCTGATTTGTGAATGCACACAAGACATTCTGAAAGGCTGGGTAAGTCCTGAGAAGCCAAACTCCTCACAACCACAAAGCATACAACCATGTAGGGGAAAAAAAATTAAATAATTTCATGATCAGCAGACAAAAGTAATAAAAATCGAACAAAAACCCTTCTGGAAAGCAGATATGAAATGTCTTTTAACTTTTAAATTTTGGTGAGAGCTGAAATGTCTTCTGGCTGAGAATTGATCTCTTTGATGAGAGTTATGGTTTTATCTGGTTCAGGATGTGTGTCAGTGGGAAGGCTACCAACTGATTTGACAAGCCTTTAGGTCAGATTGTGCAATTCAGCAAACATCTTTAACAAAACATCTTTTGAATTTGGATTTATTCAATCTAGAGAAGTGAAAACTTGCTGGGAAAAATATCAATTTTCAGCTAAAAAGTGCACCTCAAAAGAAAGCAGAGAAACTTCCTCCCAATGGCAAGCAGGGACAGGACAAGAACTCCTGGGCTTGGCCAGAGACGGTGAAAACTGAGGACAGACATTGTGGGAAGCCTTTTCTGTGGTGATGCTGATTTCAATATTGAGTCTCCTTAAGCATGAGAAGGGATTGCCTCAGCAAGCTGGAGAAATATCTGTTGGGAATATCCATCATTTTGATGCTTTTGGTGCTCTGGTTGAGTAGAAGCCCCTGTGATGAAGGGAAATGGCACAGTGACTTCTGTGCTCTGTTGCTTCTTAGCTTTGCAAATATCTCTACCATCAGTGAGGAATCAGAGAGAATTTTAAGGCCTTCCCTGTGTTGTTTGGATTTTTTTTTCTTTTCCTGCTAAATTTCATTTAAATTTTTACCCACCCTTTACAGTTTAACCCCATTAAAATTCCTTGCTGTAGCTGTGCTGAACACTTACAGAAGACAGAGGTACCTCACACCTCTTCAAAACATCGTGTAGAAGTGTTTCAAAACAAAGTTGATGGGCAGAATGTCAAACATTGGAAAGTCAAATATTCCATCTCTTGGAATTTTTAATCCAACAGACCACACTCTTCAACACATTTGTTTGAACTTTAAGCACAGAGACATTAATTTGAAAGACAAAATAGATTTATTTCTTTGTAAACATTCCTTCTTTTGATTATAAATTACACTGCTCACAGAACAGATTACTTTTAGCTTGGAAATCTCTGCATTAAATAAGCACAGTCCCATTATTGTTTCACCAAGAAATTTAGCATTAAAAGCAATGCTCAAAAGAATTAGAATATTGCATAGCCACAATTCCAGTTGCTGTGGTGAGATCAGTTTTTACATTTCCTTTCCAGACATGACCCATTCTCCCCAAATTAAATCTTCCTCCCTTTTAACAAGCCTTGAAATATTTATGGTACCTCGTTCACATTTTCAGTCAAACTCACAAAATCTTTTGAGGCATCAGATAAATGGTTTTAGGTTGACACGAGAAGAGAACTGAAGAGGAGAAAAATGATAAAATGGTTGTATCAAACAACTTGTGGCATGACTATTGAAATTATTTGCGATGATTATTTAAGAGATGTTAGGATTATAAAGCTATTCTAAAGCACCCTAGCAGGCTAGGATTCATTGTAGGTAAAGATATCATGGCTTCCCACAAATGGCACATGTGTGACTGTCATCAGCAAAGCACTTTGGCGGCTGGTGATAGGTGATGTTTGCCCTGTGGTCATTTAGTGGGTGGTGCTGACCTTTGAACTGACATTATCCCATGTGAAAGCAGTTTCTTCAGTGCTGCCCTTGCAATGAAACCATCAAGAACAAAACCAGCAACTGCCAGGATGGCAACAGCACCAACAACCAGGGTGAGGGAGCTGTCAGCAGCAGTGGGGACCGCCTGGGGAGGAGGCACTGAAGAGCCCAGCCCTACAAGTGAAAGTCGGTGGGGTTTGATCTCAGTATATTAAAGATCAGGGCACAAAGAGCTCCTGCATTAAAGGGATGGCTCCCAGATTGAAATCAGAAGTGATCTTCCCACAGATTCACTGCTTTCAACTATTTGGACAGGCTTTGTATTGGCAGGGATGACAACTTAACTAGGTCAACTTCATAAGCAGAAGACAACTGAGGGAATGAAGTATTTCTCAAGGAGGCTGGATGTTTGCTCCCAGCTGACCATCATGGAATCATGGGATCATTTAGGTTAGAAAAGACCTTTAAGATCACCAAGTCCAACCATTAAACTAGTACAGACAGGTCCATCACTAAACCACGTCCCCAAGTGCCATCACACAAGCAGATTGGAACTAATTCAATTCAAGGTGTCGTAGCACTAAAATGGGTTATAAGCAATCTCTCCTTTTGAACAGTCAGAGCAGTTATACATTTTAAATATGCAGGTAAAAATAGTGGGTTTGCAAGGAGCTGATAGCTTCCTTTTTACGGAGAAGCTGGGCAAAAGCAGATTGCAGTGACAGGCATCAGAAATGCAGAGCTATGGCTTTTCCTGGAGCCCGAAGTCACCTTACAGCAAATGTGAGAGAAATTTATTTGGCTTTAGTAGTATTCCCACTCTGAGCAGCCCCTTCTCGGAGCCGAATTGGCCCGACGACCACGTCCACTTTTTCCTCGAGAGAACTCGTGTCCCTCTTGGACCTCCTGGTGCAGCCCTGGTAGCAGTGGGAGGAATAGTCCCCGAGCCTGCAGACCATCAGCTCACACTTCAGGTACACCGAGGGGTGGTGGCTGATGAACTCAAAGGCATTGAATTTGAACCGAGCAAAGTGGCTGGAAGGGGAGTAGAACGTGGCATAGGAAGAATCTCTGGGACAGCTAGAAAGGAACAAAAAAAAGGTAGTTAGCCTTCATGGATGCATAGGTGCACATTCCTGCAAAAATACAATAGATTAAAACTAAATTATATCATAGTCAGATATTAAAAACAAAGGGATAAAAATGCAACATTCACAGCAGATAGACTTTAAAAATATAGACTTATTTAGGTCCTATGAAAAAGCTAGAGCATTGAGAACTCTTCTTTTTTTTTCCCAAGAGGAGAACAATTAAAGAAGAAGGAACAGCAGACTCTTACTAATATCTGTGCTGTGCAAGGCATAAAAAAGTTAGTCTAATGCTTGACCTGGCTTTACTAAAACATGAAAATCCCAGGATTACAGATTCCTGCTGCCAGTTTTCATTGCCTCATTTACGTCGCTCCCACTACTTCGAATTTTGCTTATAGGAAAAAGATGAAGTAATTGAAAAGAAATGTTAGTAAGGTCTAAATGTAATTTCTTATTTCCAGGCTCGTGCTGTTAAAATAAAAAAAAATCAAAGACCCCTTTTAACAGTCTGTTGTAACCTGACTCAGACTGGTTCTGTTCTTTTAAATAAATGCAGATTACAGGGGTGCTTCTCACAACTTGAAGAAAGCTCTTACCCATCCCTGACTATGTCATAGGCCAGAGTGTGAAAGTCACGAGGATCAGGCGATGCCACACACGTGTCCACAAACACCTTCAGATTTGGGTCTGAGCTGTGAAGACAAGCTTGAAGGTACAAATTCTGGTTCAAGTCGATGAAGTACGGGGAGCTGCGCACTTGCCGCGAGAACGCCGAGGAATCATAAAAGGTGATGTTCATGTCATATCTTCCAAACTGATACTCATTCACATCCACAGTGTCCTCAGCAGTGTACATGACTTGCATCCACGTCTTCTGCAGCATTTTGCAGCTGATATGCAAGTTGATGTTCTTTTTCCTCCTGATTATGTACCCAGAAGATGCAATTCTGATCGTGTTGGAATAGTTGATTGTGTCGTTGTTCTCCTGTTTAATGTGCAATTTAAAATGAGGAATTGCATTTTTGTCACATTCCATGTGAGTTCTAAGGTTTGGTAAGCTTAAATATGCACTTTAAAATTGTGGGTTCGTCTTACACACTTTAAATCAAGGAGCTTGATGTTGGTCTTTTCTGCTCACACATTGCAAATTGTATGTAATTAAGCAGAATTCAGTGGAGAAAAACTCTGTTAAATCCAAGGCAGAGCCAACTCATTGAACATCTGTACAAACACCAGTTGTGTGGAACACAGGCATCCCAATCCTGTGCACTTACAGGACTGCATCTATTTTAAATCACAGAAAATTCACATAGCTCTCTCCCATGCTTTCCTCCCTAGAAGCTCCTTCTTATTAAGCACAGATATTCCCTAAGGCTTGGAAAGCTAGAACAGTTAGACCTCCAGGTCTCATTGGCCACAGTGGCCTTTCTGTGACTCTTCTCACAGCGGGTCCTGCAATTCAGAGCCCACCCTGGTGAACGTACCTCTCGTGTCGTCCCGCAGCCGTCGTAGGGAATGTTGAACACAACCTCCTGTGGGGTGATGGTTGGTCTGCAGTGATTGTCGTTCAGGGTGACCATCTGGGCTGAGTAGCCTTGAGACTGGAGGTAGTCCCTGCTCACCACTGCGTGCATGTAGTCTGGCAGGCACAGAAGGGCTGGCAGAAGAAGGAGGTACAATATATTAGTGACTTCAGGAATTTGTTAATGATTAAAGGTTGTAATCGAGCTAAGTGTTGTTTTCTTAATTTAGAAGTCAGGCAGTTCACACCCCAACCCATCGTGTTTCATGCACATCATTCAATTTCCACAAGTATCTTTAAATTTACACAAATACTTATTTTGCAAACAAAAGCAACAAATAAGCTTGTCTGTTGAGAAACACCAGCTGAGGACTTACTGGTGTTGTGATCTGCTGGGATGGAGGAGTAGTGAGCCTGAAAGCCTCTGAAGGAGTATCTGGAATCACTGTGAAAGTGAACGGTCATCATGTTCGAAGAGGACACGTATGTGGGGAAGGAACCAGAGCAAAGTCTCCCAAGAAGTGGGGAAGAGTGTCGAGGCCCGTCATAGACTTCAATGTAGTCATGCTGGCACGTGCTGCTTTGCATCCTGGTGAGGAAACGTGAGCACCTTGTTAAATCCGTTCCAGAGACTCTGATTTTACTGCCTAACATGGGACAAAATCCTTCAGGAGAGGTTTCATTTGGTTTGTATGTAGCTGTAGCAGAAAATTGTGAGCAAAAAATACCACAGTAATCTAGATTTTGATCTGGTCTTCCAGCAGCCAGATCTTACTGAAAGTATCTTTAAAATTGGTAAGGTTGCCTGTCTTAGATGAGTTTTCAAACCTCTCAAGTAAGTTCTGACTTCGTTATTTGTGCAGGGAATCAGTGTTTTACTTACTCAATATCTCTAAATGTGAGTGTAACACGGAAATTGCTCTCGACTTGTATTTGCCACTCGCAGTCAGCGTTGTTTGGATAACTCCCAGGGTAGTGGGGACTCTGCAGCACCCCAGAGGAATCTGAGATTGAGCCGCCACAAAAAGAAGGTGCTGCAGAAAGAAATGGAAGAGAATTTACTTACAGTAACCTCTGCAAAAGTGCACTTGAGCTGTACATCTCACCTGTAGCTGTGGAAAAGCAGGTCCCCTGCTGACTGTGGGTGATATTCTGTGTGAGCCAAATCAAAACAAATATTTGCTTTTTGCTTTAGCTTTACTTTCGTGTTGGATTTGGAATTCCCTGTCACATCTGTGGTGTCAGACTACCCTCTTCAGGATGGGTTGGAAACACCTTGATGCTTTCTGCTCTAGTCTGTTCTCCTTTTCGCAGCCAGGGTCTGATTTTGGCAGGTGTCATGGCAGTCTAAATGGAAGTGTCTTTCTCAACAAACACCCCCTCCTCAGTTACTCTGCTGCTTCTCTTTATTCCCCTAAGGACTTTGGAGGGTAAATAAGTTGCAAGTCTTCTAGGAAACTCCATGATTTTATGGTCTTAGACTGAAATAAGCACTCCAGGCTGCTGGAGAAAGTCTTAAATATAACTCATTTCTCCTATAAACATAGCTGCAAAAAGCTTTTATGTTCCTGCCAGCATGAATTACATAATTCTTGTAAAACACACAGATAATCCTAAAAGCTCTTCTGTAGGGAGGTGAATACAAGCTTTGAACTTAAATGCTACAAGATGAGACATGTAGAGGTGACAACCCATTTTATAGTCCTGCACAGAGACACACCAGTACAATACATGCCTCCCTGCCTCAGAATTTGGGGATTCACAGGCTATTCCAAGCTTGGGAGCATCAGCTGTACCCAGACACTGACTCTTCCTCTGATCAGACTGGACAGGCTCTAGCAAAATTCACTTTCGTATTATTTTCAACTGTGAATGGTCAAGCTCTAAATGTAAAATCTGCTTTCTAAGGCAAAAATATAAAAGTGCCTTAGATTGCACATTGCCATACTCGAACACCATTCTCCCAATGCTTATGAATGCAGTTAGAAATTGGAGATTTAGATAATATTTCCTAGGCCTCGACCCAGCTGAATTGACCAGCAAGGAAATGGCTTGACACAGCCAATCAGCATGGTTGCAAAACAAGCATCATTGCAAGGCAAGGGGACATCACAGCCTGTCTAGAAATCACCACACAAGATTTAAGTGATGCTGTCAGAGAGGTAAAAGATAAAAAAAAATATGTTAGAGGGAGACAGCCCACAAATTAGAAAGGTGAGAAGAGACGCAGAAGAGCATTACCTGATGGAGGTGGCGTGGTGGCCGCAGGAGCTGTGGGTGTGAAGGAAGAAGAGACACAAGTGAAATGTGTTGTTCATGAGAAAGGTTCTGGGGCACACGGGGCATCAGGATGGGGATCGCAGGGAGGAGGGGATGGGGACACTGGGGCTAGGCTATAAGCTCCACAGGAGACTCAGCTGCCTTCACTGCCCACCCACCTGCACAGATGACACTGGCATCCTCCACGTGCCCACAGTTGTGCACTCCCCAGCCTCTGTGCCTGCACATCCGCAGGGAGGGCTCGTCCCCACGGCACTGCACGTCGTCCAGGAAGATGCGGCCGGAGCCCGGGCCAAAGTGGGCAGTGCGTGGGGCACCCAGGGCCTCCCCACAGCCCAGCTGCCGACACACCACCTGGGCATCCCGCAGGTCCCACTGGTCATCACACACCGTGCCCCACGTGCTGCCGTCGTACAGCTCCACGCGGCCCTCGCAGCCGTTCCTGCCGCCCCGCAGACGCAGCCTGGCACCTGACAGGGACACAAGGCACCATGTCACAGCCCCACCAGCCCTGCACCCTCCTGTCCCCACATATGCTCTTACAGCAGGGAGCCTGCAGGTTCCCTACAAGGCCAGGGATGGGTGTGATGGGCAGAAATTCCCTGTGGAATATGTTGTCTTTGCAGTGAGATGGAGGTAAAAGTACAATTCAGCATTTGGTGTCAATGAAAAAGGTTCCAAGCAGATCCAGCACATTTCAGGCACCCCAAAATAGCCCATCTGCAAGCAGTCCCTGTCCTGTGACTCCTCTTATGTCCTGTGGTGGTTTTTCATTCAACTGAAATGACCATGGCACCTTTGCCAAATACACTCTGGGCAGGAGCCCTGAGCCCCCAGTGACCTATCTTGAATTGCAAAACACTTGATGTAACAGCTTGCTTTTTTCCTGTCGTATTGCAAAGCCCTGAACGTGTGTGGGAAATTGCTCTGCTATAGTCCCCATGCACGAACTGGAGGGGCAAAGCAGAATGATTCCCCCAGTGCATTGCCCTTGGTTGCAGTGAGAAGGAATCCCTCTTTGAATAGTTTCCCTCACCATCAATGGCTACAGAGTTCCTGGACTCAAGCCCCAGTGTCCCCCTAGTGTTTTCCCAACTCTTCTCCATGCTCTGCTTGCCTCATCCCTGTGGTCTGGGGTGCCAGGAATGGCCTAACTGGAGTGGCCCAAATCAGGGAGACTGCCTGCAATGCAATCAGGTCTGGAAGGAAGATCTCAGGGGCACTAAGGAGACCAATGAGTGGTCATGGGCAGGGTTACCTGGTGTGCTCTCCTCTGCTCTGGCAGGCATTGTCACTGTGGTGGTCACCTCTGCTGGGGTGGACACATCTGCTCTGGCTGTGGATGGCTCTGTGGTGCTCATGTCCAGTGAGGTGGACGTCTCTGTTAGGGAGGTCATTAGTGCAATGGCAATGGACATGGCAAAGGACAAGACAGGCAGAGCTGGAGGACTAATGAGATGAGGGAGTGTGGAGCTCTGTCCTGCCCTTCTCCCATCCAGACATCAGCATGACATGTCCCCAGTCCAGCCCCATCCTCTCCAAAGATCAATCCCACATTCCTGCTCTTTGTCATCTCACCAGCAAGTGTGGAGAGCCTGCTGTGCCCTGTCTGTGGGCAACAACAGGGCTTTTGTATGACATTGGCTTCAGCCCCAGGCAGCAGAAGACCCCAACCTCTCCTCACTGCCCTGGCTCTCCCAAGGGAGGTCAGCAAAACTGCTCCCGAGGAAAAATTAGGAACCCACTCAGAATGATTGCAAAAAATCCCGTGGTCTCTGCCACCCACCCACCTGCACAGATGACACTGGCATCCTCCACGTGCCCACAGTTGTGCACTCCCCAGCCGTTGTGCCTGCACATCCGCAGGGAGGGCTCGTCCCCACGGCACTGCACGTCGTCCAGGAAGATGCGGCCGGAGCCCGGGCCAAAGTGGGCAGT